TGCAAAGCAGGCAGGGGAGAAACATCTACAGCACCCTGAACTCCTTGGAGGAGAAAGGCATATATGTTGTTGTTTAGTCGTTTAGTCGTGTCCGACTCTTCGTGACCCCCTGGACCAGAGCACGCCAGGCACTTCTGTCTTCCACTGCCTCCCGCAGTTTGGTCAGACTCATGTTGGTAGCTTCGAGAACACTGTCCCACCATCTCGTCCTTTGTTGTCCCCTTCTCCTTGTGCCCTCCATCTTTCCCAACATCAGGGTCTTTTGCAGAGAGTCTTCTCTTCTCATGAGGTGGCCAAAGTACTGGAGCCTCAGCTTCAGGATCTGTCCTTCCAGTGAGCACTCAGGGCTGATTTCCTTAAGAATGGATGCGTTTGATCTTCTTGCAGTCCATGGGATTCTCATGAGTCTTCTCCAGCACCATAATTCAAAAGCATCAATTCTTCGGCGATCAGCCTTCTTTATGGTCCAGCTCTCACTTCCATACATCACTACTGGGAAAACCATAGCTTTAACTATACGGACCTTTGTTGGCAAGGTGATGTCTCTACTTCTCAAGATGCTGTCTAGGCCTGTCATTGCCCTTCTCCCAAGAAGCAGGCGTCTTTTAATTTCGTGGCTGCTGTCACCATCTGCAGTGATCATGGAGCCCAAGAAAGTAAAATCTCTCACTACCTCCATTTCTTCCCCTTCTATTTGCCAGGAGGTGATGGGACCAGTGGCCATGATCTTCGTTTTTTTGATGTTGAGCTTCAGACCATATTTTGCGCTCTCCTCTTTCACCCTCATTAAAAGGTTCTTTAATTCCTCCTCACTTTCTGCCATCAAGGTTGTGTCATCTGTATATCTGAGGTTGTTGATATTTCTTCTGGCAATCTTAATTCCAGTTTGGGATTCATCCAGCCCAGCCTTTCGCATGATGTATTCTGCATATAAATTAAATAAGCAGGGAGACAAAATACAGCCTTGTCGTACTCCTTTCCCAATTTTGAACCAATCAGTTGTTCTATTTCCAGTTCTAACTGTAACTTCTTGTCCCACATAGAGATTTCTCAGGAGACAGATGAGGTGATCAGGCACTCCCATTTCTTTAAGAACTTGCCATAGTTCATATATATATGGAATAAGTAATAATGGTGTTCTTCCATTCTGATCCTTCCACCTCTAGTCGTAACTCAGGAATGAGCTGGCCGTTTCTCGCAAGGCCCCAGTCTCTTCTCCTGAGGCTACTAATTCCCGGTGTCATAGAACTGTAGAGTTGGAATAGTAAGGATCAAGGCTCCTGCAATGCAGAAATCTCAACTCAAGCTATAATGCCATCCAACCTCTGCTTAAAAATCTCCAAGGAAGGGGACTCCACAACCTCCCAAGGGAGTCCTATTCCACTGTTGAACAGCTCTTACTGTCAGAATGTTCTTCCCGGTGTTTAGTTGGAATCTGCATTCTTGCAACTTGAAGCCAATGGTTCGAGTCTTACCCTCCAGAGCAGGAGCAAAACAAGCCGTCTCCACCTCTCAGATCACACACTTATTCCTTCCCTCTCTCCCCTTCCTTGGGAGACACTGAGTCACCTTGCCTTGCAATTAGCCTGCCAGTCCCGGGAACATCTCGGAGGGCGTCGGGACGGGAAAATATTGGTGCCAAAGCTTTTGAGCCCCGCAGGGTGTAATTAGCCACACCGGGAACATTGCGCCGAGGCTGCAAGGAACCTCTTGGCAGGGGAACAAAGCCGCCATCTCAGGGGAGAGGAGGGCCGTCACAAACGCAGGACTCGGCAGGTACAATTGCAGCCTGGCAGAGCTGGTGCGATGTCTGATTGGCACACGGGACCCTCCCAGAGCCGCTAAACGCTCACGACTGGGGGAAGGGGTTGGGTAAAGGCGTCCGCGGATGGGTAAATTGGGTGCCTGTCCAAAGCGAGCACAAGAAGGTAGTACGCTGACTCAGTCCATTGGTCCAGTGCCTTGACTGAACCAGCTACATCGCTCACTCTGGATAGAGGAAAACACACTTGGAAGGCAGAATATTTTAGAGGACAGTCTTTGCTTCCTCTGTCATTACTCTAGAACTCAAGGGCATCCAATGGAGTTGAGCATTGGAAAATTTGGGGCAGATAAAAAGAAGACCTTCTTTGTGGAGCACAGAGCTGAGATGTGGAACTCCCTGCCACAGGAACCTGCAGAACTGGCAAAATCAACAACAAAATTAAGAGAATCTAATGATGAGTGTCAGTCAGTCAGTTTTAATGCACATAGCCAAAGGCTGCCGCAATGCACACAGATTCATTCAACAATTAAAAGAAAATACACTGGATTAATACACAAAACTTAAAAGGTTTATATTATCAAGACATTACCTACTCTAAACAGAGCTATAAAAGTACCTTAATATACAAGTTAAGACATTAAACAATAAAATTTACAAGCTAAAATTATCACATGGCCACTGATATATTAAAAAATAATGTTAATTGATACAGTGTGCAATTATATTCGGAGTTTGGTGATAAAGATAGACTATAGCTTGATGCAGATAGGGTCAAATAAATTCATCTCCTTTACCGTTGGTGGCTACCTTGGCTATATAATGTGCTCTCATTTTCCTAGCGGCAGTTGCAAAGAGTGCTACACGCCAGGTCACATACTTATCTGTGTTTGCAAGGAGATATAAAATCATGTTAGAGGGGTTCTGGCCAGGGTGAGTGTTTTATGGAAGAACGGGTGCCTGTTTTTTGGACCACTTAAAGAAATTTTGTAGTATGATGAACTCGCAAGCAGGATTTTAGCTACAAGCAGCCGAAGTGATTAGAGTATAATATTGTGGGTCTGATTTGATAGATAGAAGCAACAGAAGGAGAGAGATGACAACTCTGTGGAAAACAGGAAGGTGACAAAAATAAGAGAAGAGGCGAAACTGTGTTTTGACTGTCTGTGTTAAAAATGTTGAAACTTAATAAATTGGAATTGGGGGGAAAGGTGGCAGTGACAGCCGCCGACTTAGATGGCTTTAAAAGAGGAATGGACAAATTCATGATGGAGCAATGGATATGGTCTGCAATCAGCCACAGGGGAAAACTCTCCTATACAGGTGAAACTCGAAAAATTAGAATATTGTGGAAAAGTTCCTTGATTTCCATAATTCGACTTAAAAGGTGAAACTAATTTATGAGATAGACTCGTGACATGCAAAGCAAGATATGTCAAGCCTTGATTTGTTCTACAGTGGTACCTCAGGTTAAGTACTTAATTCGTTCCGGAGGTCTGTACTTAACCTGAAACTGTTCTTAACCTGAAGCACCACTTTAGCTAATGGGGCCTCTTGCTGCTGCTGCGCCACAGGAGCCCGATTTCTGTTCTCATCCTGAAGCAAAGTTCTTAACCTGAGGCACTATTTCTGGTTTAGCGGAGTCTGTAACCTGGAGCGTTTGTAACCTGAAGCGTATGTAACCCGAGGTACCACTGTACAGGTGAAACTCGAAAAATTAGAATATTGTGGAAAAGTTCCTTGATTTCCATAATTCGACTTCAAAGGTGAAACTAATATATGAGATAGACTCGTGACATGCAAAGCGAGATATGTCAAGCCTTGATTTGTTATCATTGCGATGATCATGGCGTACACCTGTTGAAAACCCCAAATTAACAATCTCAGAAAATTAGAACATTCAAGGAAATCAGCAAAACAAGGATTGCAAATCAAGCAAGACTGGACCTCTGAGAAGTAGAAACACATCTCGCTTTGCATGTCATGAGTCGATCTCATATATTAGTTTCACCTTTGAAGTTGAATTACTGAAATCAATGACCTTTCCCACGATATTCTAATTTTTCGAGTTTCACCTGTATATGATCAGGTCTCCAGGTATCATAAGGTTAATAGGAACCAGTAACTGGTTGGAGGCAGAAGAATGGCGGGGGGAACCAACTGGGAGAACCCCAAGGAAGGAAGGCTCAGAGCCCAGGGAGTGGTGGTGGGACAACAGTGAGTGGCCAGAGGGAGAAGCCTGGGCGGAGGAGATGTCAGAAGCTGGAGAGGTAACAGGGCTTAGTGAGCGGGGAGAGTCTGTGGCAGAGAGCAGTGCAGAATCAGAGGCAGAGCCTGAAGCAGGAGAGGAGACAGGCCAAGAGACAGAGATGGATCTGGCTGGGGAAGAGTCATGGATTTCTCCTGCTGCAACCAGCTCATAGTTGTCAACCGTCCCTTATTTGGCGGGAAAGTCTCTTATCCCAGCGCTGTGTCCCACTGCTGTCCCTTATTGATGATGTCCCTTAAATTTCCCAGGTTTCAAAGGAAGCAGCTCCTCTCCCTTCCTCCCTGCCGGCCAGGGAGGAGGGAGGCTCCAACTGTGTTGCTTGGCTGCGTTGCTCACCCAATAAGGAGTCTAAGAACGACTGGGGGGTGGAGCTTGCATGCCTTGTGCCCATCAAATCGGCCGCATTGCCTGGGGACTCGCCTTTGCTCAGCGCTTCCCAGCAGAGAGGTGACAGTGGTTTTCCTTGCTGCATCCCCTTTGCCGGGTTGCTGCGCTGTGGGAACCACCACTTGAGGCTTCGTTTGGCTGCTGGCTGGGCTTTCTGCCTTTGGCCCAGAGGGGCTCAGAAGTTGAACATACCTGTGCTTGGAAAATCCCTTATTTTGGCTGCTGATCCCTTATTTTTGAGGCTGCTGGTCCCTTATTTTCAAATCTGTAAGTTGACAGCTATGAACCAGCTCCCCTCACCCATTGTCTCCCAGAACCAGGAGAGGCATGAAAAGAGCAGAGGAGAGGTTGGCTGCATGCAGGCACAGTCCCCGATTGCTTGGGGGAAAGCCCTGGAGAAGAGGAGGCTTAGGCAGCTGTGGGGAGACAGGGACTTTCACTCTCAGCAACTGCATCATGGGGCTAAGACCTACCAGAGATGGGCTGCTGTGCTCATTAGGCCTGACAGATTGTGTTTTTGCCAGTAAAGAATTGACTCCAACTTGCACGGTGTGATTCACTGCTGGCACCTCCTCTCTCCAGGTGAATGCTGATTCCCAAATTCTGAGCCATGCTGGGTCCAGGAGCACGGTCAGCGAGCCCAGCCCTTTCGCCGAGATAGCCATGAACAGCTGCAAATACAACGGCGGCGTCATCCGGCCCCTCAGCAGCCTGAGTTCCTCCCGCCACAACCTCCACGACCTAGACGCTGAGACCCAGCCCCTGCAGACCTTCCACGACTCCGGCCTGGAGGTGGTGGTCTCCAAGTCTGAGCGCAGCAAGGGGTCGGACCCCCGCCTGGACGACGACCCCGAGGCCGAGGAGAGGCCACGCAGCCACAAGAAGAACCAGAACATCGGCTACCGGCTGGGCCACCGGAGGGCGCTGTTTGAGAAGAGGAAGCGGCTGAGCGACTACGCCCTGATCTTTGGGATGTTTGGGATCGTGGTCATGGTGACGGAGACGGAGCTGTCGTGGGGGGTTTACACCAAGGTAAGGGCCTCCAGATTCCTATTATTGTTAATTATTATCGTTACAGCTTACAACCTCGCCTTAACGCTAATGTCCCAGGGCAGGCTGCAACAATAAAGCAATTCAAAATGACTTACAGAAACAAGGTAGATCCTTTTTTTTAAAAAAACTTATTTTTATTCAAAATTAAAACAGCACATATTATCCAGAAACATATCATCCTTAGTCCCCCCCCCATTTTTCCTCCCTCCCCTCCCTCCCCCCACAGAACCCACCCACCCCCACCCGGCTTCCCTCAGTTCCAGTCTTTGATTTCTCTGAGAATGCTGTTTTCTGCATGTTACAAAGTTGTATAGATCCTCAAACTATTTAGCTGATTATTATCAATAAAAAGTTTGTGAATGTTTATTCAAAACCAGCCAAGGAGTCCAGTTCGCTTTGTTGCATCTTCAGATACTTTGTAAAGGGTTCCCATTCATCCTTAAAGTCACAGTTATCCTCGTCCCGTAGGTTTGGCCAGTTCTGCATAGTCCATCAGTTTTCCTTGCCATGATTCTTTAGTTGGGGTTTCTTCAGTCTTCCAACCTTGTGCTATTAGAACTCTCGCGGCTGTTGCCACATACATGAAGATGTTTTTCAGCTTTTTAGGCAGATCTTTCCCTACAATCCTTAACAAAAATGCTTCAGGTTTTTTAACAAATGTTAAATGGAACATTATCTTCAATTCATTGTATATCATTTCCCAAATTTTTAAAATTACATTACAATCCCACCACATATGATCCTAATGATATGCATACCAGTTGTCAAAGGATAAAGAGATGCATCTTCGGTTCTGGGCACCCCAATTTAATGTAGATATCGACAAGCTGGAATTTTAGTCCAGGGTGGTCCAACTTCTCATACCGATTGGTCTGCAGGTGAACTTCAGACACAGAACCTGTGGTCCATGCCACTGAATTAAAATTTCACATCATGAATTCAAGTGCTTGCAATATATTTAATATGGCTCCATGATCACTGCAGATGGTGACAGCAGCCACGAAATTAAAAGACACCTGCTTCTTGGGAGAAGGGCAATGACAGGCCTAGACAGCATCTTGAGAAGTAGAGACGTCACCTTGCCAACAAAGGTCCGTATAGTTAAAGCCATGGTTTTCCCAGTAGTGATGTATGGAAGTGAGAGCTGGACCATCAAGAAGGCTGATCGCTGAAGAATGGATGCTTTTGAATTATGGTGCTGGAGGAAGACTCTTGAGAGTCCCATGGACTGCAAGAAGATCAAACGCATCCATTCTGAAGGAAATCAGCCCTGAGTGCTCACTGGAAGGACAGATCGTGAAGCTGAGGCTCCAGACTTTGGCCACCTCATGAGAGAGAAGACTCCCTGGAAAAGACCCTGATGTTGGGAAAGATGGAGGGCACAAGGAGACGGGGACGACAGAGGACGAGATGGTGGGACAGTGTTCTCGAAGCTACCAGCTTGAGTTTGACCAAACTGTGGGAGGCAGGGGAAGACAGGAGTGCCTGGCGTGCTCTGGTCCATGGGGTCACGAAGAGTCGGACACGACTAAACGACTAAACAACAACAAATATACACAATTAAAAGATTTAATTAAAATTTGATGAGGGGGGGTGTTCATTCAGTTTGCAGATGACACCAATCCGGGGGGGGGGGGGTAGCTAATGCTGCAGAAGACAGAATCAGAATTCAAAACAGCTCATCTGGCCTAGGTGGGAAGCCCCAAAATTAGCACAACTCTTTTCACATGTGATTCCCAGCAACTGGTATTATTCCAATGTAGGGGGTGGAACTTAGCTGCTGTTGACAGCCCTCTCCCTTGTAGATCCCTCCCCACTCCCAAATCCTCTTCTAAAGCCATCCAAGTTGGTGTCTATCCCCACATCCTGTCTCAGTGAGTTCCTCAGTTTAACAACGCACCATGTCTCGTCTCCTTTTGCCCCTCTAGGAGTCTTCATATTCATTCGCCCTCAAATGCCTCATCAGTCTGTCCACAATGATTCTCCTGGGGCTCATCATCATGTACCACGCAAGAGAGATCCAGGTAAGAATCCAACTGCCCAGCAGGTTTTGTACGAAAGCCGAACATATCTTATTATTGTTAATCCAGGGCTGCCCTTGAAGCTGACCCAGAAACTCCAGCAGGTGCAGAAGGCCATGGCAAGGCTCCTTATGGGGTCCTTAACATGGGATCACATCCATCCAGTGCTTTACCAACTGCACTGGCTCCTGGTGGAGTACAGGGTCAGGTTTAAGGTGCTGGTTTTGACCTTTAAAGCCCTATGCGGCCTAGGACCCTCGTATCTACAGGACCGCCTCTCCTGGTATGTCCCACAGAGGACCTTAAGGTCCACAAATAACAACAACTTGGAGGTCCCGAGCCTCAAGCGGTTTAGATTGGCTTCAACTAAGGTCAGGGCCTTTTCAGCACTGGCCCCAACTCGGTGGAACGCTCTGTCCCAAGAGACCAGGGCCCTGCGGGACTTGATATCTTTCCGCAGGGCCTGCGAGACAGAGCTGTTCCACCAGGCCTTTGGTTTGGACTCAGTCTGACCCTTATGTTTCCCTCCCCTTATGGTCTTGATTTATCAGCTACTTTTGAAATGAGGCTGCATTTTAAACTGCATTTTATTATTTTTTTCTTTTTCTTTCCCCTATTATGCTTTTACTCCGATTTTATTGGTGTTAGCCGCCCTGAGCCTGGCTCTGGCCGGGGAGGGCAGGGTATAAATAAATTTTATTATTATTATTATTATTATTATTATTATTATTATTATTATTATTATTATTACCTGCCCTCCTCCCTGTGGTCCAAGAGCAATTGAAACACGATGTTAAAAATGGTTTGAAACCACTTGCAATCCCAGGAATAAGGTGGGTCCTAAAAACATAGAATCACAAACTGTAGAGTTGGCTACAAGGGTCATCTAGTGCAACCCCGTGAAAGGCAGGAATCTTTTGGCCCAACATGGCTCGAACCCACAACCCTGAGATCAGGAGTCCCATGCTCTGCTGATTGAGCCTCAAATGTCGAAAGCCAGGGTTAAAGAGGTGTGTCTTCAGGATTCTCTGAAAGCTGTGCAATGTAGATACCAGACACACCTGGTGGGGGGGAGTCCCACACCTTGGGGCCGCCACAAAGAAGGCCCTCTCCTGGGCTGCCACCCTTCAAGCCTTTGAGGGTGGAGGAACTTCCAAGAGGGCCTTCTCTGCTGATCTGTCAGGAAGGGGCCCAATACATTTAGGGTTTTGTATGTACACCTCGCGGGTGGCGCTAGGGGACGCGGGTGGCGCTGTGGGTAAAAGCCTCAGCATCCAAGAGCTTGCCGATCGAAAGGTTGGCTGTTCGAATCCCCGCGGCGGGGTGTGCTCCCGTCGTTCGGTCCCAGCGCCTGCCAACCTAGCAGTTCGAAAGCACCCCCGGGTGCAAGTAGATAAATAGGGACCGCTTACCAGCGGGAAGGTAAACGGCGTTTCCGTGTGCGGCTCTGGCTTGCCAGATGCAGCTTGTCACGCTGGCCACGTGACCCAGAAGTGTCTCTGGACAGCGCTGGCCCCCAGCCTCTTGAGTGAGATGAGCGCACAACCCCAGAGTCTGTCAAGACTGGCCCGTACGGGCAGGGGTACCTTTACCTTTACCTTTATGTACACCTCACTTGGGAGAATCATGGAGTTGCAGTGAAACTTTGCTGGAGTTGATGCCTGATGGCCTCACCCAATTGTAGACCTACTGACATGCCTGGGCTGGAGTTAGACATTTCAACATGTCTACCATGAGTAGGGTTAGCATTGAATATGTATCACCCAGGGTTCTTAAATCACAGAGTTGGAAGGGACCACAGCGGTCACCTAGTCCAACCCTCTGCAATGCAGGAATCTTTTGCCCAACGTCATGGAGACAGCAACACAGCAAACATCATGGCTACTTGCCATTGTTAGTCTTCTCCTCTGTGAATTTGTCTAACCCTCTTTTAAAACAACCCAGGTTGGCACCCATCACTGCCTCCTGCAGTTCCACAGTTTAACTACGCCCTGTGTCTGTGTGAAGAAGCATTTTCTTTCGCCTACCCTGAACTGTCCAGCATTCAGCTCCTCCTTGGATAACGCCATAGAACTCTAGTAACATGATGGAGGAAAGCTGCCTGCGACAGTCATTTGCAGCAGCAACAACAATCTTCCTTCATCGCAGGGGGTTGAGCTAGATGACCCTCTGGGGGCCCCTCCAGCTCTGTAGTTCTACGAAACAATATACTAAGCAAAGTGACAACAGGAACCTGCCTGTATTAGGAGAAAGGTGGCTGTGGTTTTCAAGGATGCTAAAACAGAGCGAGCAAAACGGTATACGCTCCCAAATTTCTCTGATGAAAATAGGGACGTCTTAAGGAAAACTAAGGGATGCGGGTGGCGCTGTGGGTTAAACCACTGAGCCTAGGGCTTGCTGATCAGAAGGTCAGCGGTTCGAATCCCCACGACGGGGTGAGCTCCCATTGCTCACCCATGTGACATTGATCATCCATGTGACAGCCCTTCAGATATTTAAAGATGGGTATCCTATCCCTAGGGACCTGGGTGGCGCTGTGGGTTAAACCACAGAACCTAGGGCTTGCCGATCAAAAGGTTGGCGGTTCGAATCCCCACGACGGGGTGAGCTCCCGTTGCTCGGTCCCTGCTCCTGCCAACCCAGCAGTTCGAAAGCACATCAAAGTGCAAGTAGATAAATAGGTACCGCTCCGGCGATAAGGTAAGCGGCGTTTCCGTGCGCTGCTCTGCTTCTCCAGAAGCGGCTTAGTCCTGCTGGCCACATGACCCGGAAGCTGTACGCCGGCTCCCTCGGCCAATAAAGCGAGATGAGCGCCGCAACCCCAGAGTCGGCCATGACTAGACCTAATGGTCAGGGGTCCCTTTACCTTTAAGGAAAAGTGCGACATTCGAGGATCAAATCCGAAACTGGGATGGCTTCTGAAAATCTGGGACTGTCCTTGGAATATAGGGATGCAGGGAGGGTCTGGAATGGGAGAAACCAAGAAGGTGTAACATAGACAGATTTTCTTGTCCATAGGTGGGAGCAATTCGGGAGGGTTTTGCTATGGGTGCTGTTGCTGTTTCCTCTGAACGAGGAACAGATGGGGCAGGTCTGACTTCGGGGCTGCTGCAGCCTGGAGCCATTACTCAGTTGAGCAGCCCCAGCTGGCGCCAGTGCCGTCGCCGAATGGTGAGGCGCCCGCTTGTGACACCTCACAGGCATCTAGCACCCGCCGCTGAACAGCAGGGAGAGTTTTCCCATTAAAATGTTTTTATGGGCTGCGTCAGAGGACGGAGGAACTGACCCTCAGCCCTGCAGAGGTGAGGCGGAAGAGGAGGACATTTTCAAGGGGAAGCAGGTGGACCCTGGAATGAACAGATCCTGGGTCAAAGGCTGAGAGGGTCTTTGACCTTGCTCTGCCCTTCACTGATGGATGGAGAGAACACAACTCTGCACTCGACGAAACTCAACGTTCTGAGGTGCCAGGCTGACCTTGAAAACCACACACACTAAACAACATTATTCCATCTCGGTTTCTGTTTGCGTTCTTAAAATCCCTTGAGTTTCATGATTCTGCGTGTCCAAAATTTGCACGACCAGACCTGTTAAAGGGTTTTTTTAAGTGAGCTGATCATCCATTCCTTCCCAGTCCCACTCTGATTTATGGCTCCATCCTTTCCACACCTGCTCAGGTGTACATCCCTCGGAATTCAATGGGTTTCACTCCCAGGTGAGTGGAGGAAGGATTGCGCCCTTAACAAACAAATCAATGAGATTGTGATGAATGTGAGCATCTCAACCGCATAGAAGAGCATGGTGTCTTGCAGTTATTAATATTTTGGGGGGAGTAGCAGGAAAAGTTTGAGGGGTTCCAGTGCCCCTCAATCCAAATCACAAAATTGTAAGTGTCACTCTTGGCGGAGGGGGATATCTATTTAATATCTATCAATCGTCTGTTGTTGTTGATCTTGCTCTTCTTCTTCTTCTTCTTCTTCTTCTTCTTCTTCTTCTTCTTCTTCTTCTTCTTCTTGTTAATTCAGCCTTTATTGGCATAATTTAGACAGTTTAGACAGTTTAGATGCAGGTGGCGGTGTGGTCCAAACCACTGAGCCTCTTGGCCTTGCTGATCAGAAAGTCGGCAGTTCGAATCCCCGCGACAGGGTGAGCTCCCGTTGCTCTGTCCCAGCTCCTGCCAACCTAGCAGTTCAAAAGCACGCCAGTGCAAGTAGATAAATAGGTACCACTGTGGCGGGAATGTAAACGGTGTTTCTGTGCACTCTGGTTTCCATCACGGTGTCCCATTGCGCCAGAAGCAGTTTAGTCATGTTGGCTTCATGACCCGGAAAGCTATCTGTGGACCAACGCCAGCTCCCTCGGCCTGAAAGCGAGATGAGCACTGCAACCCCATAATCGCCTTTGACCGGACTTAACCGTCCAGGGGTCCTTTACCCTTTTTCTTTGTTAGACAATAGAATCGTAAGAGTGGGAAGCAATCATCCACAAAACGTTGCAAATCAATACCTATTAAACACATAAAATGTATAAAAGGCTCAAGAGCCACCATTAAGTAAGATCTAGAATTGGCTTTGTGCCATGCGCATTCCTTTGGCTGCGAAGGGCCCTTGCCAAGTAAGTGCCCACCATAATTGACCATGACGGGGTGTGGTTTCTGTACCCGCAAACCTGGCCTGAATGCCATCCCTCCCTTTTCGCAGCTGTTCATGGTGGACAACGGTGCGGACGACTGGCGCATCGCCATGACCTACGAGCGCATCTTCTTCATCACCTTGGAGCTCCTGGTCTGCGCCATCCATCCCATCCCGGGCCAGTACTTCTTCACGTGGACGACCCGCCTGGCGTTCACGTACGCCACCTCAGAGGCCAACACCGACGTGGACATCATCCTCTCCATCCCGATGTTCCTCCGGCTCTACCTGATTGGGCGGGTCATGCTCCTCCACAGCAAACTCTTCACCGACGCCTCTTCGCGGAGCATCGGGGCCCTCAACAAGATCAACTTCAATACCCGCTTCGTCATGAAGACCCTCATGACCATCTGCCCCGGGACGGTCCTCCTGGTCTTCAGCATCTCCTCCTGGATTATCGCCGCCTGGACGGTCCGCGTGTGTGAGAGGTAAGTCCCGGTTCTTCTACTCCTGCCGAGGAGGGCATATCAGGGGAAAGGATGGCACTTGCCGAGGGGGTCTTTGGTGCCCCCTGCCGCAGCCGAGGGGAAAACCAGGTTCCTGCACCTGTTGAGCTCGTTGGGTTTGCTTGGTGCTGAGTTCGAATCTCTCCGCTTTCTCCAGGATGGAGATATCCCATCATTTCCCCCCCTTCCTTTCACTTTTTACTGATTTTTTAACCCAAAAATCCCAAGTGCAAGCATAACAAAAAAGAAAAAAGGCCGTGTGGAATAACGAAGACTAAAAATTGCAAACCACAAAGCATTACAGCCTGGAAGTACAAAGATGCAGTGTGACTGCAAAGGGATAATAAGGCATTAATTCACTCAAAGACCTGCATTATCACAAGCAAAATATAATAATAATACCACTATCATTAGTAGTAGGAGTAGACGTAGTGTATGTATAATATTAAATGTCCACAAATTTCACATAAAGTTCCAATGCAAATTTATTTTTCCTTTTGTTTTATCATCATTGCATTCCATTTTCTGTAGGGGGTGTTCATTCTATCTCATTACTGCATCTTTTATATCCTAACCATAATACAATAATGTCTAATTATTTCCTGTTGCTCATAGTTCAAATCCTGCTCACGAATTCATTGAATTATAATATTTCTTTGAATAGCCTGGAAAATGCTTCTATAATTCCATAAAGCAATCGTCATTAAGTTCTCTTATTTTAGCTGTTGGCTTTTCTGATTCAACACAGTCCATCACTTTTCTTCGGTGGGAACTTCTTCATCTTTCCATTTCTGTGCATAAAGAATCCTAGCTGCTGTAGTTACATACATAAACAACTCAACCATCTTTTTTGGGGGGGGGGATTCTGTCCATATAATCTTTAGAAAAAAAGCTTCAGGGTTGTTGTTTTGGTAAAATCTAACATTTTTTATTATCTCATCATTTATCAATTTATTACCACCCTTCTCCATAAGGTCCCAGGGCAGGTTATAACAATTAATAAACAACAGTAACATTAAAATGCAATATTAAAAACAGTTTAAAGCAATACAACTATAGAAAAGCCCCCCCAAACCCCCCATAAAGTTTGTCCCATAGATTAAAATTTGTGATTCTGTTCAAAAACAGCAGGCAACACTTAAGTATACATTCCCTAAAAAACCAGAGGCTTTTTTATTAGGGATAATAGGGGAGGAGGTGAAAAAGGAGGATTGTAAACTATTTCAATATGCCACGGCTGTAGGCAGGATTCTTGTGGTTCAAAAGTGGAAATCACAGGAGATCCCAGCGGTAATGGAGTGGCAGACCAAAGTTTTTGAGTATACAGAATTGGCTAAAATGACTTATAAAATTTGAGACCAAAAAGGGACAAAGTTTGAAGAAGAGTGGAGTAAATTCGTTGCATACTTAAGAATTAACTGCAGAAGTCTAAAAACTATAGCAGGGTTAACATAAATCCTGTGATGTGTATAGAGGGTAAATCATAATCTGCAAGAGAAGATACAAATTAAGAATACCGAAGCAGGGAAGGAAGGAAGTCTGGGCGTGCACTTACGCAGTGGAAATAAGACGACACAAAATGATGATTGTAAAAGATTAAGTTTTATTTATATTTGTGAAAAAATCAATAAAAAGCATTTGAAAAAAATAATAGCAGGCAACACTGTCGGATGGAAGCTGAGGTGAATTTGGCACATTTCAATATATTCAGCCTATTTTCAAATGCATACAGTAGCAGCAGGTCAGAGGAGGAATTTTGGTGCTGTTAGGATTTTAATGCAAGCCTATATCTAATTCACCCTTTTGGAAACAGTAAACAAACATGAGCACAGAACCAGCCTTCAAAATTTGCACTTATCGCAGTTTTGCCGTGAAGCTCTCCAGCCAAGTAATGCATGCAAAAGGGAAAAAAGAAAAAGTTAGTGAAAATAATAAATAAGATGCATTAATATTGCAGGAAAGTCCTATCAAAAACGCTTCTGGATCAGGCGAAAATTGCCTTTAAAAAATGTGTAAAAGGAGAAATTTGCACTAGAGTACTGGCAAATTGGCATGAGGGCATTAAAAACAAGATAAAAATAAAACTATTACTACTAGTAGTATAGGGGACGCGGGTGGCGCTGTGGGTAAAACCTCAGTGCCTAGGACTTGCCGATCGTATGGTCGGTGGTTCGAATCCCCACGGCAGGGTGCGCTCCTGTCGCTCGGTCCCAGCACCTGCCAACCTAGCAGTTCGAAAGCACCCCCGGGTACAAGTAGATAAATAGGGACCGCTTACTAGCGGGAAGGTAAACGGCGTTTCCGTGTGCTGCGCTGGTGCTGGCTCGCCAGAGCAGCTTTGTCACGCTGGCCACGTGACCCGGAAGTGTCTTCGGACAGCGCTGGCTCCCGGCCTCTTAAGTGAGATGAGCGCACAACCCTAGAGTCGGACACGACTGGCCCGTACGGGCAGGGGTACCTTTACCTTTTACCTTTACTAGTAGTATATTAGTAGTATTTATTTATTTCCTGCCCTTCACCGGCAGGTTCCAGGGCAGGTTCCAGCCATTTAAAATTCAGAAATATTATTATTATTATTATTATTATTATTATTATTATTATTATTATTATTTTTATATGCCACCCATAATTATTATAAATAATAATAAATCATAATTTATTATAAATAATAATAAATCATTAATAATGATTTAATAATTATTATTTTATTTATATGCCACCCAGCCACTCTGAGCAGCTCCAACAAAATATTGGAAACACAACAAAAGCTCAAACCTTAAAATCTTCCCTGCGCAGGGCTGTCTTCAGGTGTCTTCCAAAAGTCATATATTGTTTATCTGTCTGACATCTGATTAAAAACAGTTAAATCTGATTATGGTCACAGGAATGAGGTCCTGAAAGCACACATCTCAGGCGTCAAATGCCTGGAGAACTGAGCTTAAGACTTGGGAGAAATCGAGGGAAACAGAAACAAATTCACCCCTCCCTCTTTGTGCCAGATCTGGGCTTTCCCCTCGGCTGTGTTGGATCTAGGAGGGCGCCCCACACTTTCCAGCAGGAGCCCCCCCCCCACCGCGTTCGTCTCTGTGCCATTCGTGTGTGTCGTTTGCTTTCTGGACCTTTTGCCCTGTTCTTCCTCCGGCCTGGAAACTGCTCAATAACGTGCTGTTGTCGTTGTTTTTCCTCCTCTCGAAACCGCTGTGCTTCTCGTAGGGACAAACTGTGAGTTCCGATTGGCTAGCAGCCGGGTAGACGCAACCCTTGCACGGAGGCCAAGACTTGCTCAGAATTTAAGATTAGCTGCAGCTTGCGTGATTGGCAGTTTGGGGTGTCGTCTGGGGGGCGGGGTCTGGGGTAGAGGAAACCCTGGGTGCTGGTGGTGGTTGCGAACTTTGAACAGAATCCCAAAGCTAATCTAGCTTTCGGAAGGAAGCTTTGTCCATATATCCATTCATCCATATGTCCTTCCTTCCTTCCTTCCTTCCTTCCTTCCTTCCTTCCTTCCTTCCTTCCTTCCTTCTTTCTTTCCTATTTTCACTTCACCACCTCAACCTTCCTGTCCAGAGAATTTACTCCTCCCAAAAGCTTTATATTTTCCAAAATTCTCCCCATTCAACCCCTCCCATTTGCATTCCTAGATGATTGGTCCTTCTTTCTCAAGAGGAAACAACAGATGCATGCAAGATCTTGCCCGTGTCATCCTTCACATCTAAATTTTGCACGGCACACACATGCAGTTTACTTAAAGTGTTTCGTCCCCATCTTCCTCGTTTGTGATGTGTGCATTGAAGGATCTGTCCCAGACCCTCTCCCTTCAAAACTGCATCATGATGAAACCTTCCAGAACACTAGATAATGATAGACATCCATCAGCTTAGGAAACCTTACTGCAAAGGCAGTGAACCTTAGGCCTGGGGACAAATGCCTCTCTGTCTGACCCTCAGGACAATCTCTAGGCCACATCCTCCTCTCCTCAGACCACTCCAATCACTCACCACTGCTTTGCTCCCTCCCTTGGGTGTTCTTGCCTGGTTGGCTGTAGGGATGGGTAGAGAAACTAAGAGAGGATAAATTTCTTAGGTATTTCCATCTGGAAGAACCAGATGCACAAATATAGGATGGGGGATTCCTGGCTGTACCTGTGAAAAGGATCTGGGGTCTTAGCAACCACAAGTTGAATATGAGTGAACAGTGTGATACAGCAGCAAAAAAAGTGAATGCTATTCTAGGTTGTATAACGAGAAGTCAAGCGTCCAGATCAAGGGAAGAAACAGTACTGCTCTGTTCTGCCTTGGTCAGACCACGCCTGTGTGGGAATGTTCAGGGATGCAGGAGAGGATATATTGTTTGATTATAGCCTTTTCAACTTGTGTTAACAAGTTCACAATTTAGCGGAGTAACATTCCCCCTTTTAAACTCACAGCGGATGTGTTTGGTCAGGCTTGCTAAAGCCTCTATAATAACTGTTCTGGTATTTTCCCCTTATTCCCTCATAAAAGATAAGACATGACACAGTCTTCTATAAAAGTATAAAAAGAGTTTACTCACATTCTGTTCACAATTGGACCCCAGAAGGCAGACTTAGCTTAGAAAAGTAACATACACCTGGAAACTATCTCCTAAGGAGACAGTCCCTTTGTCCTCTCATGGCTGGAGGCCAAGAGAGCATCTTTGGCTAAGCCGATGTTGCTTCTTCGATGCATGTAGTCAAAGAGAGAGAGATGGCTGCCCTGCCCTGTGCTTTTGTCATTACCTGCACAGGGGAGGCCACGCCCACCTCTAGTCCCATGCAGAGGAAGTCTGTCCCAGCCCAGAAGGAAACAGGAAGTTTACCTGCTGGCTGGACAAACATTCCTCCCCATGCGCAAACATGTTCACTCTAGGAATGTTGTACTTGACTGCTCTTGTGTTTCACATCCCACAACCTGGAATGCTGTGTGCAATTCTGGGTGCCACAATTTAAGAAGGATGTTGGCAAACTG